TATCCGTCTGCCCTACCCCTTGTTCACCTATTTCACTCGACTCCTGCCAAAACATCTGTCCTACTCGAGGGCCACGAAATTCCATGAAATTATTTATCTTTTTTCCGAGAATTTTGTATTATTTTAATGTTTTTATTTATCGCTTACGTTTATAATCCTTTTCGTTCAGTACTTATTAGAAGAATATAGTTACAACTATTTTTATCTTCCGAGGGATTTTTAATAGTTTATTGAAAATCACTCTATGAAACACTTTTGTTTTTCTCAAGTTAACCACTCGCAAGGTTTGGCATCTTGTAGTTTCCAAAAAAACCTCCATTCACGGTTTATTCGTAACTTGCAGATATCTTCTCTTTAGAATGTATAGTTTTTACATCCTTCGACTCATGTTTCATTCATCAGCTGTTTTGAAACGTCTTATTCTTATTTTTAAAAAATAAGTTTTATGCTTTATTTAGATATAAGTCTTTACTATAAATCTAAAATTTGTTTTTTCTCTCCTATCACCATATGAAGATTGTTCGTACTCCTGAAAAAGATTATCCTCTTGGCAGCCACTTCTCTGAAGAGGATCCTTCTTTTTTGAAATCTTATCCACTAGATGAATTTTCATCTTCAATGGTATGCTTCTAAAAATTTCATACCGTTATTTCAAAATTCCTTTGTTTGTACTGATGAAGTAATTTTTGCAGGCATTGTTATTTTTGACTATTACTGCCATACCAAGCTTCAAAGTTGAAATCAGGTCTGCCCCAAAAGAATAATGAAACAATGGTTACACTCTTAACCCGCCTATGTCAAATTTGTTGCTCTTTAAAATTAGGTGTTAGCTTGCAGTTTAGAAGCACGTTGAAGTAAATTCAGTCGAACCCGCCTTTATGTGAGTAATTTCAGATACATTAAAAAAACCCAATTAGAAATACTAATATTTTGTTTATTTTTTTAGCTATCCTGGTTTAATGAGAGTTTTAGGGTCGTTTTAAGTCTTTCCTTTGCTCATTATATTTCTCTTAACTTAGCTGAAATTCTGGTTAATTTTCTTAATAGAAGCAATTTGACTTGATTTTCGCAATTTGGTCCAATTTTCAAGGCGACTTAGAGGAATGCATTTTGCCCATACTCTACATTATCCATGATAATTTTCAGACGGACAGTGGAATCGGTACATTCCCAGGCATTTTGCCCGGATCATCCGTAAGATTTGCCATTCTTATCACAACACTACAAGGAACAAAGAACACCAGCGAATAATCAGAAAATTTGACACAGGCCTAGGTACGCTCCACAATTTTTCCCTGAGGCTCCGATCAAGTTGCGAAAACAAGGTCGAATCAACACTATAGGGCTAAAGGAGACTGAGACCAAACAGAAGGCCACACCATCTTGGTCTTCATATCTACACTTTTATTTGGGTGGTTATTCTTTAATGATCACAAACTGAGAGATTAGGACAGGTTGTTTCGTAAGTTTACTTACATGCCTACAAGCTTACATCTCATTAGCTCAACCAAACTTGCTTACGAACTTACGCGGTCTTGGTCAGGGCTTTTTCTTGGATCATTAAGCTTTGATGACCAGAGCTTGATATTAGTATTTTCGATCACTGACTTAGTACCGGTATTCCGTACAGACGTTGACACACACGCGTACACACACACACACTTGAGCAAAAGTCACAGGACCAGTGTGAAAGATAATCTATCTATGCCTATTTATTTTAGTTTTTACTTATGAGTATATATAAGAGGTGAGATAGAACCGGATATTCTTCTTGATATAATGGTAACGCGAATGTCCAACTCTGATGATGTTCGTGGACTGCGTCAAGCTGAACGTCGTATTAAAGCCAAACACCTGCAGTACAACGGGATTCAGCCGTCGTCGTCTGGTGAGATCAACCTGCGATTCTCTTCTCCATGCACTTTCATGTGAAATGCAGGTGCTCCCAACAATACTATTAGTCAATTATTCCTCTTATTATCCGGATCTCTTTTGCTTCTGTCCATTACATAGTCCTGATCAGGGCTTTTTCTTGGGTCATTAAGCTTTGATGACCAGACCTTGATATTATCTATGACTTTTATGCCCGAATCTCTGATGTATTGCCCTTTGCTATCGTTGTTCTACTTGCTTTGTTTAGACTCATTATATACGCCTTCTCTTCTTTTCCCATTGTCCTTTTGTGGCTCCTTGCGATTTTTTTTCATCACTTTGAAAATATTTGCATGGCCTAGTCGTCTTCTTTCTGCCCATCTTGCTATTGCCTGATTTCCTTCGAGTTTGCTTGTGCAATATACAAAGGTTTCGCCAATCCTTTCTTATTTAAGTCTTTAGTTCATCAGATATCTTTCATTTACATATCGATGATCTCTTGCATCTTGCCTTTTCCTGTATTTTTCCCATATGAATCCAGTCTTTTTGTCGACTTTCATTCGATTCCATATACCGTCTCTGTTTTTTCCCTATCTATATTCCTGCAGAATCTATTATATTCCTTCATTCGTGGGCTGATTTTTCTTCCTGCTTTTCCAAAATCTTTCTGCGCACAGTTCCCCCATGTTATGCCATAAATCTCTAAGCAATCCAATTCGTCAACCTTCTCATGTTACGCCGGCAGGCTGGTTTTAAAAATATGCGAAGAAAAGTTAAGTTTCGAGGAATCTATTGTTTCATAATTGTTGAGCTTACTTCCATTTCGAGTGAAAGTGTTGGGTGAATA